CGGGCCCCGGCGGGGTTGGGGGCCGGGGCGGGCTGCTGGGCTGGCTGCGGCGGCGGGGCCTGGGCCGGGGGCCCTTCGTGGACCCGGCGCGGGACAACTACCGCGCCTTGACGGGGCTGTACAGCGCCATCCAGCCCGCCGACTCTGTGTCGCTCAGCACCCGCACGCACGGCGCCGTCTTCAACCTCGAGTACTCGCCCGACGGGTAAGGCCGGGCCCGGGCCGCCCCCTTCGCGGGTGTCGGGCCCGGGGCTGGGAGGAGCCGCCTGTTGCCTTCCCTGTGAGGGGCCCGAGCGCTGCCCTGAGCCGTGGGGGCAGGAATGGCAGCGCTGTGTGCCCACCCAGGGAGCCTCTTATGTAACCGAGGCATAATGCTAAGGCCAGTAAGCGATCAAACCTCTGCAGGTAGAAATAGCGCATCCACAAATCCTTAAACAAAGCACAGTCCACAAAGCCTCTTTCCAGGGTGTCCCAAATCCCCTGATTCTTGGTGGGCAGCAGAAATCTTCCCCACAAAATGTGGTGTGTTGGATCCTGCTCATCACCTGACTGGTTTTTGAATGATAAGGGATGTGTTAATCCGAAGCAGTAGGTAAAAGTTTAAGCTAATTAATCAATTTCTGCACTTGATAAAGCCTAGTTGGATTTATTTCCTCTTCTTTTTTAATGGAAAATGTTGCTAATGGAAACTCAGTATGCATCTGTTCATGTTTTGTGAGGCCAAACCCTTGCTTGTGCAAGTAATGCCACTGACTTCAGGAAGATTAGCAAAACTGACTGCTGACAGTGGTGTGGCTAATAGTGCATGCATTTAGGATGCTGCTTTCTTGCAAAATATAAGGCTGGTTGCAGACAGAAAAACCTTGGGACCCGCCCTACCACCCCCAAGTGAATCCCCATCCTAATGACCACCTGGGCCATGTTCAGCAGATGCATACATTGCAGGGATTAGCTCAAAGTGTGGTACTTGACATTTTCAGTTTTATGCCTGCTTGGAGGAGACCAGATTTAGTTTTAATGTCTTACCTTTTGAGACCTGCTGAGAGTAGAAACAAGTTATTTGTGCACTGGGGAACTATGGCACTCTGCTGTCCAGCAATATATTTGCTTATAAGTGTAGCAGGTGACCTGGCAGTAGATTGGCATCATTCTGATTCTCATCTGATTTAGCAATTAGGCTACCGGCAGCAAGCACTCAGCAGTAGTAGTAGGGCATATCAATGGAGGATTAACCTAGCATTTTTGTGAGAGATCGGGGTTTGGAACCAAAGGAACATTACTTTGAATTATTTGAATTTGAAGTGTTATAGACCTGTAGCCCGTTCGTTTTAGACTAGAGGTAACAGAACGCTAAAATCTACTTTAAAATATAGACAAAATTAAAAAGAGGGAGTTAGATGAGCTTAAAGAAGGATGGAAGGTCCTAGAACAACAGCACAATGTGGAACAAGCAGAAGTCAGAAAAATATATTTGAACAATCACTTTTTGCAGCGTGTTTTCATTTTAGTTGACTTGCACCCCCCAAAGTGGACACAACCATATTTTGTTTCTGGACAACCAAATACAAAGTTTTAATGGCCAAGGACAAGCTGTGAGTGGTAATTATAGCCTCCCAGATGCACTAAAACTTAATCAGAGTCAAGTTCCAGTTCTCCTTTGATATCGGTAGCGAAACTACCGATGAACTCAAGCAGTTATGTCACACCAGATCTGGCTCCTTAATCTGCCTCATACGCCATTCTCAGAGCAGGACAGAATGAAATTTCAATAAGTACCAAACTGAGCCCTTGGCAGTTCTCACGTTGGGACAGATGAATTCCTCTGTCATGTTTCCAGTATGTAAGTGTATAGTCGTGGCAATTTTTCAAAACAACAGGGTCGGTCTTCTGCTGAGATTGCAGGAGCTGGTGGCATAAGGGATGGAAGTGAAATGTTTTATGCTGGGGTAGCTGTGCTGGTGATGTAAATACCTAGTGAAGGCGAGCAGTGTCAGTTCAGTGTTGCTTGCTATGGTGCAGCATAGTTACAACAGCACAAAGGTCCCCAGTTTGGACAGGACATGTTCATCTCTCCTGTCATCCTGTGCTGTCTGGAAGCACAAATTTGAGGAGCTACTGGATTCTAGTTTCTGGCAAATATTCTGGCAGGTATTCTGCTTCCTGGGGTTGGTGGAGCAGACAGCTGTCAGTCTTTGATGTGCTTCACTGCATTGTTTTAAAGCAGTTCAGAATCCTGTCATGCTAGGAAAATCCTTAGCCCTCCCTTTAGAACAACTTTAAAATCTACTTATAGGATAGGCAGTGGAAACTGATCTTAATAGTACTAAATTGGGCTTGGTAACATTTACCTGTCTTTAAAATGTTGTTTTATAGTAATGATAGAGGATACTATTGGCTAGTGCAAAATCATATTTCTTTAAAAGACTGTGGACTTTTGATGCTTTATATGGCTCTTTGGAATTCGGAAATTACCTTGCTGCCGCTTCCTTGTTGCTATTATCTATGAACATGTCTCTGCCCTAATATGTCCTACAGTCCTTGTGTAGTTAAATGAGACAAACCACAGGTTGGATGTCAAATGTTATCATTCTGATGAAGGCTAATTCAGTTAGTCAGTGTATGAATTTAGCTTTCTGGTGGAGCATTGTTTAACTAGTATATTCTGAATGTTTTCTTTGTACTGACTTTAACAGGATTTGAGTCAGTCCCCAAATAAGCAGCCACCCAGCCCAAATTTTAGAAAAAAGAAAGAATGGTTATAGTTTCCTAGGCCAAGAGGGACAGTCAGTTGGATTTGCTGCAGCTACTAGCTTGTTACTTAACATGCTCTGGTCCATGTTAGTTAACATGCCTAAAGGATGGTATCATAGTTTAAATAACAAAACCTTGCATTACTGATCAGCTGGTGCTTAAGTACATGGTGATTATATTTTATACTTCTGGATCTTTTTAAACTACTCCAGCTAGTAAGATGGTAATATGACCCACATTCTAGGATTCAGTGCCACATGTACTACTTATTTCTATGCTAGGTACGCTATTACTGTCAGTTCACCAAGCTTATTCAGAGCTGGCTATTAGAGGGTCTTTTAGGAATAGCATCTCTTGTCTCTTCAGGATAAGGGGGCAGACTAGATGATCCTAAGGTCCCGTCTAACCCTTGGATTCTAGTACACTATTCAAGCACAAATTGATATAGCTTTGCAAAATGCTTTAGACAAGTGTTTGCATTCCATAGGCGGAGGAAGACTGTGAAATGGCCACAGAAGTCTGTTATAAACTTTGGGTTAGAACCCATATTGTTGTCTACATCCTCTTTCTCCTTCCATTTAATAGGCTGCAGTTATGAACAGAGCTGCACACATACAGAGCTCCAGTTTCCATATGTATTCCTAGATTTTAATTCTCCCCCACCCAGTAGCCAGTAGGTTAGACTACAAAGGCACTGATGGGACAAAACACCCTTAGATAACACTTTGTTCAAAACTCTTATAACTCTACTCAGCCTGTGGATTGATCTGTGTTGTCATCAAGTTTTATGCAGTAGCGTAATAATTATAAATTAGCCGTTATTGAATTAAAGGGTTCACATGACCTGTCCAGTGGATATGCCAGCTATGTATCAATTTATGCCAGCTGCCAGACTGCAAAGGAGAGCAGGTTTTTTTTTTTCAGAACAGGTGACAAAGAAATGACTTCATAGTTGAGTAGACAGAATGCCAATGTTAAATTTCTTATATGAGACTGCACAGCGGAAAGAAGGCGATGGAACAAAGCTAGCTGCGCAAAATCGGAACAGAGTCTTGGGCTTTGTGAAATGTGCACAGTTGGTAACAAAGCAGAGATGAGAATAGGTCTAATGGATGCCTGTCAGAGTATTTAAAGACTTGACTTTACTTCATTAAATGAGTAATACCTTTCCTTTTCTCTTACTCTCTTCAGGTCAGTGCTGACTGTTGCTTGTGAACAGACTGAAGTTTTACTTTTTGACCCCATATCTTCAAAGCACATCAAAACTCTCTCTGAAGCTCATGAGGACTGTGTAAATAATATCAGGTCAGTCCCTTGGGGGAGGGAGTGTGGGGGGAAGCCAAGTTTAAATGTAAGAAAATGCCATCATTTTTTTAATGGTAGATGTTTTTTGTGCACTGTGGTGCTGTCATAATTTACCGTCCAGTCCTCTCTTCTACACATTTTATCCAGCCAACAGAATGTGATTTAATGTGTACTGTTTGTCTTGTTTTGCTGCATCCTGTTGCAGGGGAGGGAGTGAGGGAGAACAGGGTAAGAAGTAAAAGAGCAGTATTGTGTGTCTGGTTGCAATATGAAACATACACACTTGTTCCTTTAAATGACTGTGGTTTGAGGGATGCAGTGGAGGGCATGGTTTTTAAGGAATATTGGTTATTTCAGTTTGTCTAGTAACTGTGGGGTGTGTTTTGTAAGTACCAGGCACAGGAAGGAAAGGATTTGTATTTATACAAAGCCAGAACTTGGAAAGATTTAAAAAGATGGGCATTTATTTGGAAAGCAAGGATATTTGGTGTTTTAGTTTAATCAGGGTTTAGGAAAGGGAAATCACATAGTCAAGTCCTTAAACTAAGGGTGGGCAAAATGGCGGATCCAGCCAGAGGTCGGACTCCATTTCCCAGCAGCCCCTGCCTATGTCACTGCAGTCAGTTTCCATGGAGACCCCAGCAGCAGTGACAGCTCGGGGGCCAGGGTTTTCATGGAGACTGGCCCCAGCAGCACTGGCAGGGCACATGGCTGGCTGGGGAGCTGCTCTGTGGCCAAAGAAGGGATGTTGCAGTGGTGACAGCGTGGTCCAGAGCCAGGGCAGAGCTGCGATCCTCTGTCTGGATGCCCCTACCCAGAGTGTGGGGGCAGTGGATCACAGCTCTGTCCCAGCTCTGGACCATGCTGTCATCACTGCAGGATCCCAGCCCTGGAGCAGCCTCATGTCCTGCCAGTGCTGCTGAGGCTGGTCTCCATGGAAACCATGGCCTCATTGTCACTGCTGGAGTCTCCATGGAAACCAGCTGCAGCAACATGGGCAGGGGATGCTGGGAAATGGAGTCTACCACTGGCCAGACTTTGCCCGCCCTTACCTTAAACCAGTCTCTGACTCTGGAATTAGAATGTGACCTTCACTGGGGACTGATTATCTACTACAGGGTTCCTTGCACCTGAGACTACCATCATTGGAGACAGAATTGTGGCCTATAGATGGAGTGAGAAGCTGATGCAGTGTGGCAAGTCTTATGTCAAAGTGAAGATGTCCCATTGGGTTTGTCAAACAAAGAGTTTTGACATTGAACTAAACAATGAATGTGATGGACTGCACTGTATTAGAATCTAACTCTCAAAACTTACTGTCTGTTTATAAAGGAGGTGGGAACCCCTGATAATCTGAGGGGCCTGAGTCATAAGTTTCTGTGGAAAACTGTTAAACTTTAAATATGTAGTTATTACAGTTGTGAAGGTAGTCTCCCAAATGGGAGCTGATGCAGTGTTGCCTGTCTGAGCCTGTAGACAGGATTACAGCTTCTGTTAGCTCATAGCTTCTCAAGATTGCAGCAGGACAAATTGACATGGCCAGTTTTATTGCTACTCTTCAGAATTCTGGAGAAAAATGATTGATGGGTTCACACTGTGGCTTGTTCAGCACAAGAAGAGTGATGATTAAATATTTTTGGAAGACCTCAACAAGAGAACTTGGTGATGTGTTGCATAATGAAGATACCTTCCTGTGCTGCCCCTCCTCTCTCTTCTTAAAAGTGGGGGCTGAAGCTTTGTTTTTCAGACACTCTTTACCCAAAGTCTTGTATGAAAGATGAACAGTTAAAGGTGGGAGTGCAAAAGCAAAGACTGATTTTTCCCAAGAGGCATTAACAAGGGACCTTTCTGCTGAAGTCCTGTTGTACTCTGAGTGTACATTCTGCTACCCTAACCTCCTCCTTATTCCGGGACTCCACACCTTGAATTTAGAAGTATATTCTATTTACGTTATACTCTAAAAATGATTTTTATTTGTTCATTTATTTATTTTTAAATAAGGCATCCTTGGGTTCCTTGTTTGTCAAAGGTTTTCATATCAGACATTCTTAGTTTATAACCAAAAGTGGCCTGATTGGTTAATATACCAATCTGCCAATATAAGCTGAATTAGGAGGCAAACCTGATGCTTTCCTTTTCAGGCATCTCTGCTCTGGGTTCTACTTTTTGTATTCAACTGAAACTGTTTGTGCTAGTGTCTGACTCCTAGTGACCTAGCCAAGTCTCAGAGCCAGTTTTCCATCCCCCTCCTTGGCCTATGAGCTGCCTTATGGGAAGCTGACCATGTTCTTCTTGAAATCTGGTCCTTCCCTGGCTGTTGTGATTTTTGCCCTTCCTGCTTCTGCTGCTCTTCTACTTGTCATGTCAAAAGATCCTCTTTGTCCCCCCCTTTCTCCTTTCTGTGAGGTGTCCCACAGGGCCCTCCCCTTCATGTCCCTGTACTTTATCGGGGTAATCTCAGTCACAAATACCAATTCAACTGCCATCTCTCTGCAGACAGCTCACAGATATACCTGTTGGTTCCAGATTTGCTGCCTCCTATCCAAACACAACTCTTAACCCAGTGATTCTCAACCAGAGTACTGAAAGGTCCTTTTAAGGGTGTAACACAGTATTTGCACTGCAGGGTGTGCAGATACCTACACAAGATAAACCCAGAGATTTCAAATAAGAATTTATAGTGCCAGAAACATTCTAGCATGTTATGGTCTTCCCAAGTTCTTTGCAACAGAGGAATTGCTCTATTGTTTTTCTGTGGTCAAATAATGAGCAAAATTAAGCTTTTGGAAATGGAATGCCAGTAATTCAGAGACATTATGGAGGGGGTACATTATGGAGGGGGTGTCTTGAGTCTAAAAAGGTTAAACTACTGTCTGAAACTGTCATTTTGACATGAAAATAGAGTTGAAGTTCAGTATGCCAAAAACAGTTAATCTTTCTATTTAAGACATTCTGCTGTTCCATTTCTTGATCACTGTGGGTATCCCCTCTATCCTGTCTGTCATTTAGGCCCATGATCTCATTATTATCTTTGACTTGGACTTCTCTCCAAGTACTGGTATCCAGGTTCTGTCTGAATCGTTCAGGTCCTTTTTGCAGTACACCTCAGTGACATTACTGCCTTTCATGTCTCCACCCAGGTGAAACTTGTGGCAGAGTTTAACCTCGCCTCTTACTTGCTGCAGCATCCTTTTGTCCAACTTTTGAGTAGTACAGCCTTGTCCTGCCTACCCATTCAGGATGGATCTGCAAAATTCGTTTTTCTAGCTCATTGTTTCAGCTGTGTCATTGTCCCCCACCCTGCTGCCCCGTGTATACTAGAACCCTAGTCCATAATTGGATAGTCTAGGTGCTCTGGTAATACAAATGATATCTCCAGTGAAAAACACTCAGCAAACCAAGTGTTGCCTCTAATGACATGTTTGACATAATCTAGATGCTAAGAGCTTTGAAATACATGGGTGATTATGCTGAATATAAATGTATATTTTTCGGGTACAAAAATAACTGACTTAAACTTGGAACTGATGGACAAGGAAGTCTATCACCCATTTCGCTTGTCCATTGCTATGCCAGTTCATCAGAGATAGTTAGGTAAAAAGCTTACAGCTTATCCTTGGGTCATTCCCAGTGTAGTCAGTCACGTCAGCAGACTTGTGAAGAGGTGCAATTTTTAGATGGTCTGTAATTAAGAGAAATACAGTTCAACTCTTAGGTGGTGTTTATCCCTGTCCCTTTATTTTTATAATCTTGCATCTCTGCCTTCTCTTGTTCTGGTCTGCAAAGGATAGCAGCAGGTACAATTACTTTGGTCGCTAGTGCTCTCCTTGTCCCATTACAGCCAGTCCTGGTGATCTTTTTGGTTTTATTTACTCTGGACTTATTGTCAGATGCTTTTGCAAGCACCTTCCATGCAACACACTTGCTTACTTTCAGACAAGCAGTTGTATCTTTTTCTCTTGTTAAAGCAAAGCAAAATCCTACATTTTTATAGCAAAAATGACCCTACAGTCATTTTTTATCCTGTGTGTATTATAAAAATTTCACCCAGTGACTTTCACACTGGCCCACCAACTTCTGATTGTAGTAGAGCGTGATTTTTAGAAGACATGTAGACTTGATATGAGATGCTTCAAATGGCAAAACCTCATACTTCCCTTAATAGCTTTTTCTAGTGGCTTATTACTCTCACTAACTAAAGAAAATCATCCTGTTTTCTTAGTTTGGGTTTCCTAGCCTCACCTTGTATCCCTGACTTATCAGCCTTTGTCTGCTAGAGCAAAGAGCTTTGTGCCATTTGACACCACCCTTCTATGCAGGTTCTTGCAGACCATCAAATTGCCTGTTGCCACCTCAAGCTGGGATGGGTTTTAGCCAGAGACCAGAGTGTGTGAGGATAAAAAGTTTTTACCTGCTAGGATAATTGCCCCTCTGCCTGCCATAATGTAACTAGTGTGACCCATAGACTTGCTCCGTCCTGACTGCCTTCCTTGACTTTAAGATGTTTGGCATCTTCCTTCAGATAAGACTTATTGCTATAAATAGGATCCATGCTTATTCCAGGAAGTGGATGGTGTGAGTGTGGAGTGATACAAGGGTGCACTACATGTGCCTTATTTGGCGTATGTGGTGGATGATGATGCTCAGTGAATGAGTTAGGACAGCATGTTTAACTGTGAGAAGAAGTGGGTGGATAAAGATCAGGATTTGGAAACAAACACAACTTTAAATAAATACTTTTTAGTTATATGATACAATAGAAGTACAATGAAACTGATTTTAAAGCAGAAATGTATGTGAGAGACAAGAATTGCTGTGGATGATACCTTTTATTGGACCAACTGTTCAAATGGGAGGGATATTAGACAGGCTTTTGGGTACAAAGTACCCTTCCTCAGATCTGAGTTGTCTCTGTTGTATTTTAATTTCCTAATTAAAATTAGAGTTTTAAATTACATAAAGATTTATTTTTAAGCTTGATCCTTAAAAGATGGGTGTCTCTTTTTAAAAAGACGTGTTCAAGATCCTCTATAAGAATGAGAGACCAAATGGCACCAGATGAACAAGCAAATAGCATGTGCAGTATTGATAGCCATCACCACTTTCTAGCATGTAGTCAGTTCATGCTCTCCCAGGATCTGTGCCTTGAAGTTGTAACTATTTGCAGTTCAGCCTGTGGATTAAATGAGGTATGGTGTCAATTAAAAAGAAAAATGTGTGCTTGTCAACAGCAGCTATATTATAAAACATGCACAAAAAGAGGATGGAAGTGTTGGACTAAGGCTTAGAGAAGGTGAGATCTAGATAGAAGATGAGAAGCCTGGCAGCAGAAGCTGATGCTAAGAGGTGGATGGCATGAAAGTGGAGCCAGCATCCACATCCTGAGCAGTAGGTTAGGACTTGGATGGAGAGCTTCCTGGCTCCTACTGTGTTGCCTGCTTCCAGTCCTGTCTGCACCTCACTTTGCTCGCCCTATAGCCACAGTGAATGATCCCAGAGTTGTGCTAACTTTCTGCTGGTCGCTGAATAAAGGAAGAGGCAGTGAAGCCAAAGGCAAAATTAATGGAATGAATGCTTGCTTTCAGGATTCTAGGGCATGAACATGAAGGGATCCTGGTTTTCTCTGATTTAAAAAAAACAACAAACCCCCCAATTTTTGGTCTTAAAAAAAAAAGTAACCCCAAATCTAGATGGATGGATGGATTTCATTTTAATCAAGGAAAATGTGGATTTAGGGTTACTTTTTTTAACCAAAAATTAGGGATTTTTTTTTAAATCGGAGAAAACCAAGATCCCTAGTGATTATAAAGGAACTTTTGAAAAAGCTGGACACCCTCTCCTGCTCCCCACCTTAATTTTTCTTTTAAATGTGTCTGAGGTAACTGTACTGTAACTTTAAAGACAAATAGTAAGCTGAAAGTGGAACGGTGAAGTGAATATTTTACTCTGTGCTGGTCACCTGTTTGCTGGACTGATTCTTCTGTTTTCAAAAAGCATCTTCTGCTTCTCTGCTAACTTTGGGCCAGATTTTGAGAAATGCCTGTGTACTGTGTAATAACCCTGGATGTCTGATGAGCTGCCTCTTGGTAGGTTCTGTGTACAAATGCACTTTTGAAAAATTGACTGCTGCTAATTTTGTTTTGTCAAATTTTAAAACAATCTACTTTGTCATGTTTAGTGACATAGCCAGCTACAGTGAGGTCTGACTTGTGTTTGCCTCCTTCACTGATTCACTCAGCTATTTAAGAGAGCGTGGTGTTATGCTGTACAAAACAGAGAAATGCCCTCTATCCTAGGGAGTGTAGCCAAAAAAAAAAGTCTTGGATGTAAAATGTCCTAGGTACCTTAGTAGCATGGGTGCCTTTTACAGTGAGGCAAGGTTAAATAAGTGGATTAATTACAGTAGGCTTCACAGAAAATATCAGGGTTTCTTTAAAAGGGGGATTTGAATTAGGCAAAGTGAGTATTTTTATACAGCAGTAATGGGAGGAAGAGTCAGAGGAGGAATGAAGCAGTAGCAGACAAGGCAGAAACAAAGGAAGATGAGAGCAGGACAGTGTTGTCTGGTCTGTGCTCTCTGGGAGTCTAGAAACCAGAATTCCTATTGTTTTCAGCACTTTGCCTGTTCACAGAAGTAGAGGAATCCACATGCCAAGGTGAAGGCTGAAGGTCTAAATTAAATTTGACAGCCTTGATATCGGAGGTTCCTAAACAATCAGCCGTGGGAAAATCCTACCAATGATCTGAACTCTGGATAGTCATGGGGTGCTCATGCCTCATTTGTGTCTGTTACATTGCATTAAAAGATGAGAGTTGATGCATTTTAACTTCCTTGGTGCTTTCCACATGGGCAGTTGCTTTTACTGCCACAGGGATGATGTGTAATCTCCATGGGCCCTGGTTTTCCTTGATTTAAAAAATGGCAAATTCTCTGATTTTTAAAAACCCCAAAATCCATGATTTAAAGTGAAAGGCCCCCCACACTCCAGCCGTGCTGGTGTTCCTCACTCACTCCCCCCACAATAGCTCCCCAACCCTGCAGGAGGGAGGGCCCCCAGCTGCCAGGGCTATGGGGCCGGGGACCCAGGTCCTCAGTCCCCTGCCCCAACAGAAGGCAGCAGCTGCTGCAGCAGGAACACAGCCAGCTCCCCTACTGCTGCAGACTGCATGGGGGCGAGGCTGGCTACTAGCTGCAGCATGCACTCCTGAGGGTAGGGGGGACCTGTGCGCCTCCCCCCCCCCCAGATTTGTGCGGGGGCAGGGGCAGGGCTTCTTGCCCTGCTGCCCTCCCCCAGGGCCTCTGGAGTGCAGCGTGTGTTACCCAGTGTGGCAGGGCACAGTGGGACTGCGCAGGAAAGCTGCTTGCCTGTGTGAGCTCTGTGATGCCCTGGCAACACTTCCCCTGCGAGTGGAGGCAGCAGCAAGAGGTGCAAACCTGCACTGCTGTCTGTGCTGCCCCCGTGCACACAGGGGAAGTGTGGCCAGGGCAGTTTGGAACTTGCAGTGGCAGGCAACTTTCCTGCTGTGCCCTGCTGTGCCGGGTTGCACACGCTGTGCTGGGGAGGCCATGGGGGAGGGCAGCAGGGTGGGGGACCATGAGACTGCAGTGTGCACCCCCCTGTCCCCACCCTCCACACAGATTGGGTGCGTGCAGGTCCCCCCCCTGCCCCGAAGTGCGTGTAGCGGGAACTGTGTGCTGTTGGCTGAGCGGGCTCTGTGCCTCCTTGCGTGGCTTCCCGCACTCCTACAGGAAGCCACCCATGGAGGCACAAAGCTGGTCCGGACTGCCCCACAGTGCACGGACCAGGATCTATGCGCTATCAGCCCAAATGAGCTCCCCGCTTCTGTGTGCAACTTCCGTGAGAGGCCTTATAGCATGCTGCCAGGCAGGCAGGCACGCCTGCGGGAAGCTGGCTGGGGGCTGAGGGAGTGGGGAGGGGGCTGGGGAAAGCCCCATAAGGAGTGCCTGCCCAGCTGTGGTACATGGACTGGGAGCAGCACGCTATTGGCCTGAGTGGGCTCCCCACTTCCCTGTTCAGCTTCCCTGAAGGGCCAACAGCAGCTGCTCCTGGGCCATGCACCACCAGTGAGCACTCCACGTGGGGCTTCCCCAACACCTCCCTGCTCCTCAGCCCCCTGCCTCACACCTATGTCCTGCCTGCCACCCATGGCCCTCCCAGCCCTGCCAGTGCCCCTGGCTATGACCTGTAGCCCCCCAGCCCCCTGCAAATCCCACTTACCTTAGGATCCAGGAAGGAAAGTGAACCTAAGTCCAGCCTTGGGTCAAGAGCCTCAGGCCCTGCCCTTTTCATCCCCCTCTCCCTCTCACTCTGGGCAGGGTTGTGGGTTTCCCACTCTTTTTGCAAGGAGCTCTTGCAGGCTGGATCCCTGCCACCTGCAGAGCTCTTTGTAAGAGTGGGGCATCTGCAGGTATCTCTGTTAAAAGGGAGAATCTGTTTTTTCTCTGATAAAGGCAGGAAATCCATGGTTTTCTCTCTTTTTCCATGAGAAACAAAACCTGGATCCCTGGTGATCTCCAGCAAAAGATTATTTGATTCAGGGATGTCCTCATAGCAGTTATACAAACTTTATGTGGTTGGTGCTGTAATAAAAATTGTCATTCCATGTTTTAGTTTTGTTTTGTAGATCTGGTTGCATGCTCTCCTCAGTTTATACTTTGAAAGGATTAGGGAGGTAAACAAATATCCCTGCTACTCTTTGAGGCAAAAATGTAAAATGTTTGTTGGGGGATCCTATCTACTACTGTAAACTATCTTTCATTTGTAATGGTTTGTCACAAAAAATTAAAACCCACAAATACCAGTTCAGGAATAACTAAGTATGAGGTAATAGTGCCTTGGCTGTACCATGGATCTGAGTTCATTTTGATAGTTAGTTTTCTGTCCGTTTTACAGGTTTCTAGATAATCGACTGTTTGCAACTTGTTCTGATGACACTACAATAGCACTTTGGGATCTGAGAAAACTAAACACAAAAGTGTGCACTTTACATGGTCACACCAGCTGGGTGAAGAATATTGAGTATGACACCAATACCAGACTACTGGTGACATCTGGGTTTGATGGAAACGTGATCATTTGGGACACCAACAGGTATACGGGTGGTGTATGTCCATTAATGCATGAACTGTGAGAGGACAGGACTCTCCTAAATGTGAATAGCAGGATGAAGACACACTGTTTGGAATGAAAGCTTAGTAAGTTCTTTAATACAATCATTGTGGTCATTCATCAGCCAACAGTGACTGTCACAAATTTGAACTGCCTTAGTACAGTGAAAACCAAGGAACTAAAAGGAAGCTATCTTGAGCGAGCTGAGACTCCAAAAAAATGATTCTTAAAAGCTGAAAATTGGCAGAATTAACTTGAAATGCAAGTGCAGATTTCCAGTCTCTATTTGAAGTCCATCTTAAGTGATACACAAAAATAACAAGTGAATTAGTTCCTGGGAAAGAGGGGGTGTTCATCACCCACTTTATCTGCTTATGAACCTAACTTACAGATTTCAGATGCTGACCTCAGGCTCCTATTTTTCAGTCCTAACCATCTTTCCTCCTTCACTGTCCAGGTGCACAGAAGATGGATGTCCTCACAAGAAGTTTTTTCACACCCGGTTTCTCATGCGGATGAGATTGACACCAGACTGTTCGAAAATGTTGATCTCGACCTCCTCTGGATATCTCCTGATTTTGCATGACCTTGATTTAAACAAGTCTTTAGAGGTTGGCAGCTATCCAATTTTAAGAGCCAGAAGAACTGCATCAAGTTCAGGTAAATTGTCACTGATGTCTTGCATCATACATTTCTTGATAGATGTATTATTTTAGACTATTCCCTTGACCAGTAGGAAGCAGGGAGGAGTGACTAGGAAGATTTATGTGATAGGTTGTTCAAGGGCACTTTGGTTCTGTGGCTTGACACCTAACAAGACCCATGATTCTGAATGATACTAAATATTTACAGTTTTTTTTATCATAGAAAAGTAGGACTGGAAGTTCTGCTCCCTGCTAAAAGCAGGATGATTCCTGACTAAATCGTCCCATTCTTGTATCTGTTCAACCTGCTTATGAAAATATCCAGAAATGGAAATCCCACAACTTCCCTTGGTGGCCTTTTCCAGTGCTTGAGAGATGGAATGAAATGCCTTCACATCAGAGCATGACAAATGGAGTCATTTTGTCTGTGTGGTAAAGGCCCATTTCCTGTCACTTTAACACTCCAGGTAGTGCAGGAAACTTAGGTCCTGGCTAGAGTTTGTGTTGCTAAGAGCAGACTGATTAGCACTGTTGAGAGGCAGAGACAAGGTGTCTACCCTTACTGGTATGCAAGTGTAGCTGTACTGCTTCCCGGTGGGTTTAGTGTACACAGAGCCACACAGCCTGTGTGTGCATGGGCAGCACTGCTTGGCACAATGAGCTTACAACCTGGACTTTGTGGCTGGGACCATATGACTTCACAATAAAAAGTTTTGTGGCTTGTGTTTTGCAATGTTACAACAACAGAACCAAAAAGTGAAGAAAAAGAAAAAACTGTGTGCATGTCCTTTCTTTGTTTAGTTCCTTTATCTTGGCAGAACTGCCACAAGCTTCTTACTCAGCCAGACAATGGAATTTAATGTTTGGGGCTACTCTGAAACTTGACTCTAAAAATGGCATAACAGATTTTCCTTTTTGTTGCCATCTTACTAACTTGCTGTAGTTACTAGTGAACAAAGAAACTGATTTCTAACAGCCACTCGCATGTTGTTGTCCTGAAGTCTGTAAGCCAAATTGGATTCTTGTCTTCTGATTCATCTCCATCTATTATAAAGATGCTGCAGGTCAAACCCTGTTTCAGTTGCATTTGGAGTGGCACAAGTACGAACAGGGAAGGGTTTTACTTCCACCATCATTTTAAGTGAAGATGCACGAGAAGGAAAGTATTCAATTTGTCCCTTAGATCCGAGGTTCAGTTTGTAGAGTGTTGGCAGTTGACTTGAAACCGAGCCTGTTAAACTTTTAGGCTTATTTTTTTCAGGGTATAGTCAAAGATGGAAGCCAAAAGCTTTTGGGCCAGACTTTTAAAAGCATTTATGTGTCAGCACCCATTCAGTTGGCCTTGAACAGTATTAACTCTTTAAACTTTGGGTTTTGTTTTTGTTTTTTAATTAATACTAATCCATTGTGGTCTACATATGGCAGTTCAGTATCAGACCCCTTTGTTTGGAGGCAGTTCTTAAAAAAAAAACCCATTGTCCTAGCAAGATGCATATGCAGGTAAAACAGTAAAGTTATTTATTGAAGGGATAAAATGAGTTGCATACAAAACAAAAGCTGGGCTAACCTATTAATTTATATGGGTACTGCTGTTTTCAGATATGACATCTTCCAGTTCATCTGGTCCAAGAACTGTTGGTTCACCATGTCACCAGAATGATTCGGGTCCATTGTCTGAAAAACACATGTCCCGAACCTCACAAAGAGAAGGTATGTTAAGATTAAAACGGGTATGAGTAAGTGGGCCAAGGAATAACTAAGTGGCTTTTAAAACCTAAAAAGTAGTGTTGCTTTTTTAGTAGTCTTATGTACTTTCCTACTTATTTAAAATAAGACTAGTAAGAAAAACAGATCTTACTAGGATTTACATCAAATCAGTATATCATCAGCTAGTGGTGTCTGGAGCTGATTTTATTTCTTTTCAGATTTCAGAAGGGGAATACTCACTTCACGGTAGTATATAAACACTTTTATGCCTGGGAAATTACAATCTAATTGTATTGTGTAGCATGTTGTACCATTCAAATGTGAATGCCTACTGGTAGGGGCATTCCTCAAATGCAAAAGGGGAATGGAAAAACTCACTGGTTGGGGGTTTTTGCAGGGGAGCGGGGGGTTTAGTGTGACTGGATGGAAGCACTTGCAGTGAGCTTGAACTTTATGGCATTTTTAGTCAGATTTCTTTTTCGCTCAACAGAACTCCTTGCTGTTTTGTGTTTCTTTATCTCTGTTTGCTTCAGTGACAGATAAGTGTTTACTGGTGCTCCATGCAGAGCCTACGTAGAGTGAGTGGCCAGATCCTGTTCCTTGGGTATTAACTGGCTTTTTTTATAAAGTTCCATTTACAAGGGAAAGTTGCCTGTTGAAGTAGGAAATACCATGCTCTATAGTTGGTTATAACTCAGTTTCCTTGCTGCACTGGACTTTGTGTGAATCTGTTCCCACCAACATAATAGGAATAGTGTTGTGGATACCTGATCGTGAGGTTTCTGGCCACAATGGCTATATAACTATCTAAATGAAAGGAGGCAGAATTTACTAATAAAGGTTTTGGTTACTGGTGGTGATGAATAAGAGGGAAAGATTCCAGCTTGAGGTTCAGCTCTCAGGGTGAGTTTGAAGAACTGGCAATAAATATAGTTCACTTGTAAACTGAGTAAGCTTCTTGTGCAGAATGCTCCTTACATAGTAAATTTTAAAGTTATGGCAGAATGGCAGTCTTTGAAACTACCTTCTGCAGTGACAGAAGTATGTAGGGATGATATCTCTGGCTTTGTGTATGCATTTGTGTTGTCCAAGATGGGTTTACACTAGGGTGCACCAACAGAGTTTTTTTGAGCTGATACTGATGGCCAATTTTTAACGAGCCATATCAGCCAATACCGATCCAATAGATGATGTGCAGCTGGGCAGCTTATGGAGCCTGAACTGAGGCTGTACACATGCACGAGGCATTTATTGGCCACATTATCGGCCACGTCAGCCAAAAATGCTGATTGCGACACCGTCAATTTTCCTTTTATTGGTGCTGATCTGATAGGGGACTGATGTATCAGTGCACCTCTAGTTGACATAGATATTATGAAGGACAAACTGTCAAAGCAAACGATTCTCCAGTTCTATTATTCCCTCATACATATTAACAGTTCACAAAACCTGCATCTCTTTACCCACCTATAGAACTGGTATACATTTCTCCCTAATGGTGTTAGATTTAATTTTTGTAAAGCACTGGAAATATCTGACAATGAGGCTAGATCCAAATATTGATTAAACTGCTTTTTTTTAATTTAGAGTTTGGCCACAAGTGAAGCAATAAGAATTGTAGTATAATGATGCTGTATGACAGATTTGGTATATATTTTCCTAGGTGGATCTCCACGAAATAGCCTTGAGGTATTAACACCAGAAGTTCCTGGAGAAAGAGATCGTGGTAACTGTATCACATCACTGCAGCTCCATCCTAAAGGATGGGCTACTCTTCTTCGGTGCTCAAGTAACACAGATGACCATGAGGTAAAGAAAACAAGAACAATTTTATATATGATGTACTTAGGGTTAAATATAGATTCTACATAATAAATAATGCCTTATTGGCAGGTGAAAATATGGTGCTTCTATTTCTGATTGATTCAGACTAAGCTAACTATTCGTAGTGATTCCCTTAAATATTTGTGCCATGCCTCTTTTATATTTTTACAAAGTTGATATTTTATCTCAATATGGGGATATATGGTCTCCAGTGGAGTCTTGAGTATTTCATTCACCATCATTAAGGAAAAACTGAATGCATACCTAGCCACATAGAGGACTTCAGGATATGCTGCAGGCAGTCTGGGAAACTTGATATTTGAGTGTGGTAAGGGATGGTGGGGAAACAAGCTGGGTCTGATGAGGAAAGACCTCAAATCCTGAGAGCTTCAGTGGGCTTTTACTCTTCAACTGTGTTACCTAAAAGATAGACAAATCTGAACCATGGAAATACCTCGAGCCATGAAGTAGCAAGCAGAACAAGAATGTATGTTAAAAATGATGGTGGTTTCTATGGCACAATGCAGTGCTGTGTAGAGAGGCCTAAACCAACTTCCCATGAGTCTCAGAAGTAGATAAACTGCATTAGTCTCTTTCCTGTGTTCTCTTTAATAAGCTCTTTTTCTCCCTGTTGACTAGCCTGGGGAGGGAAGAGCACAATGCTGATACATCTGTACTGGTTTTAGCTTTTATTTGCATGCTGTGGCACTGGGCTGAGTAAATATATACCAGCTTGCTTAGAGTTTAACGTGGGTATCTCTACACAGTGCTGCATTGCACTGTACAGACATGGCCCAGGAACACTTAGGCTATCTTTCTTGATGTTTTGAAGGGGAAAAATGAGTCTAACCATTTACAAATATTATCAATGCACTTCAACCAGGGGAGATGAGACTAGGTTGACCCAAGACCTTTTTTAAACGCAGTTTTTGCCTCGGCATTGTGTGGATGAAACATGCTTCCTGTAGCAACAGACAGTTTCCTAAAAATGCCAAGCTCCTCACATGGCAGCATTGTTCAAACTAACTGTATGGATATTAAGGACTTTAAGAACTGCACATGTGATGCTTTTAGTTATGGGATACCACTTTGCGTTCATAGCTCTTGACGATGCTAGCCATCTGTAACCGTTTTGATTACCACTAGCAGAAAATTTGTTGGCGTCCTAAATATTTGATGACCGGAGCTTCTGAATCTAATAATGCACACAGTGTGCCAGTAAGAGGTTAGCAGGTTAGAATTTGAACTCGCTCTCCTTATGTAAAAAATCAAGCATGCTGTGCTTAAGAGCTCTGTACTGCATCAGTTATTCTGGAGTGGCCTATTCCTTTAGCATCAATGACATTCCTGCTTTAGAGCATAAAATATAGAGCCTGCAGGGCATCTGGTGGGGCTGGGAATTCAGGGGTGAGGCATGTCAGTGAATTCTAGGGTATGGAGCCCTGTTGAAAATGTGTTTTGGTGGTAGGCAAACAACTGCCATGTTAACCCCCACAGATCTCTGATATCACTCACCCCACCACTGGAGGTAGATCTGAATCTGGCCCCTGAGGAACCCTGCAGCCCGGATCCGGTGTGGTGGGCCAAACAAGTTTGACATCCCTAGTTTAATGGATTAAAACAATTTAGTGTTTGCCAAAATGCACGTTTCTGCATATGTGCATTAAATGTCTGCAGAAGTAGGACTCCTGATCTCTCTTGCTTGATAAAGAAACAAGATCAGATAGTTGCCTGCTTGTTCTAATGCCTCTGGCTCAGAAAAAGCATCTTATCCTCTTTGGACTCTGGGAAATCACTCAAGTCCCTGGGGGATTGAATCGGTTACTCTTTTCATGCTGTGTTGGTGAGTTAGATGGTGTTCTGCACAAAAGTAAAAAAAAAAAAAAAATCTCCTGGTGTGCTTTTGCCTGTATTAGGTTAAAATGTTCATACTTTACATATCTGACTGAAATCAATGAAGTTTAGGGCAAGTGCTTTCAATATGGGTGGAGGAGGTCTCCATTACTTTGCAAAGAGCGTTGATCAGTTGGTGTCTTAAGTTGCATCCTTTTTTTTTTTTTTTATGTTTACTTGCTCTAAAGCTAAAATAAAATCACAATAGACCAAGATGAGTTGAAACTAGAAATGTAAACAAAACAGTGTCACAAACCTACTTATTGGGAAACTGTATGCAGTGGTTGAGGCTGAGTTCTAGAGTCGTTAGTTTGCAGGCTACTTCATAGATTCATTTGTGGTTTAAGGCCAGAAAGGGACCTTTACATTATCTCGGTGCCTTTTACTAGTGACCATCTTGGTCTGCTAAGTGAAAAGAAAATCGTTGTGAAACCTCAGTACTAGTGCAGGGTTGTGCCCAAACTTCCTGAGTTGTGTCCAGAGACCGATGGGATATTTTTACATTGCTTTCAGCGGAAAAAAAGGCTGCTTTTTTAATACTTACTATTTGACAGCTCCCTAGTTTACCTGTACCTGCTGCTGGCTGATTTACTTAAAATGGGTTTCATGCATACAAAGTAACATGCTTTCTACAAGCTTCTTGCCTACTAATTATTGGAAATCTGACAGACTTTTGCCAAACTTGAAAATGACTGGTCTTTGAACCATTGTAAGGTGAACTATTGTAAGATAAATTCTATAATTTTGTACTGCAAAGTAGGTTCTGAAATGCAGATTTTGGATTACCTTTTTCTCAGTGTCATAAGATGGAGTAGGGTACAAAATGTAATGTTGGCAGATGTTATGTGATATTAATGAAATATTTTAGATGCATTCATATTTGAAGAATGTAAGACTAGATGAGCAAAGTGTAGTGGCAGTTCCTGTGTCGTTCACTCTCCATGTGAAGAAATATCTGGGATACTGATGTTCATATAAAACTTTTCCTGTCTCTTCCTCCGCAGTGGACCTGTGTCTATGAATTCCAAGAGGGAGCCCCAGTGCGTCCTGTCTCACCCCGTTGTTCCCTACGACTGACTCATTGCATAGAAGAAGCTAACGTAGGCCGGGGTTATATCAAAGAACTCTGTTTCAGCCCTGATGGCCGAATGATTTCCTCCCCACATGGCTACGGGATCCGCTTGTTGGGGTTCGACACACAGTGCAGTGAACTTGTTGACTGTTTGCCCAAAGAAGCTGGTCCCTTGCAGGAAATCCGTTCTCTGTACTCACACAACGATGTGGTACTGACGACCAAGTTTTCTCCAACGCACTGTCAGATTGCCTCAGGGTGCCTTAGTGGACGTGTTTCTTTATATCAGCCAAAGTTCTAGGCACATCTTGCATCAACAGGAACTTCTCAGACATTTGTTTTTATAATTACTTCAGTTTAGTTGAAGTGTGTTCTTTTTAAAATCTTGTAAGTTTGAACAAGATCATAGTTACTATGGTCTGTGAACATACCAGTGAAATGAGTTCAGTCCAGCACTGTATACATCTGGCACTGTATACACAAGCCAGATGCCCTGCACCCTGTGTTCAGCCTTTCATGCAGTCCCCTGCTCCTGCTGATCCTGTGCCATTGATCTCCAGTCTTTCTGGTTGGTTTGCACAGTAGCACTTGGTCTTTCTTTTCAACATGACTTCTGGTAGGCCACCTGCAAAATGTGTAGGGCAGGGGTGGGAAGAACAGTTAACCAAGCAAACATCCCCTCCCTGTTTCCACTGGTACAGTCTTTCCTCATCACAAAGGAACTGGACTTTCTTGCATGCACTCATTCAGCCTTTTTTGCTGCTGTAACTTTTCTTTGCAGTGAAGAGGTAATGGAACTGTTCTTACAGATACTAGATTAATTTTGCAACAGAAGAGAAGGGGGTAGAACACCCCCCCCCCCAAATCTACTTGCATTCCCAATATAATGAATTTGGTTCTTGGTGACTGGCTAGAAAAGTGTTTGTTACTTTTTCTAATGCTTTGCTGTAGTTAAATTTTAGGCTTTTTTTCTTAATTTGTATACACTGTTTATTATCAGATAGAAAATTTTCAGCGTGGAGATGCAGCTGCATTTCTTCAGTGAATTCAGTAGGAAAAGAATGCCGTAATGAATAGGAAGAATAAACATCATGCCTTGTAAGCATTGCAAAATAGCCTTTAGAAAAGTCTGGCATAAAGTGGCAAGTTATGTGTACCCCAACCACCAAGCTCTCTGTGACCCATAGTACGGAAAGCTTTTTATGGTAATAAAATCCTTTTTGGCATTTCGTTCTAAAAATTAAGAAATAACAACACTTTTTGCATTTCCCATTCTGTTAACTTGGTGGATTCCCAACTAATTCCCACAGAAGTGCATAATAAAATACTCTTGTAAAGTGCACAGATCTTAGCCACCTCCTTTATCCAAAGCGTAGCCCACAGAAGGTACTGTAATTGTACTAGTAAAGCTGTCTTTAAAGTTACTCTGTCAGTCTGGAACAGATCAAAGTATATCGGTCCAAAAATCATTTGCTCAAATTGGACTCTTCAGTGACAAGGGGCAATATTCATGTGAATGCTGAGTTTTACTTATTTGCAATGTAGGTACCCTTGTATAGTTGCTTCAATAGCTTATCACAAGGGTATAATTTTGAATGCCACTTCTAATCTGCATCAAAAAGATGATGTCCTCCAGTTGCTCAAAAGCCACTAGTGAGAGTGAGCAGATGTTTATATAACTTTACTCTCTGGGTGGAAAGTGAATGAGCTTAACTTCATGTATAACTCTGAGTGCCCATTGCGTGAAACTAGGAATGAAACACCAAGATTTGACACACTGCTTAGACTATAAGTAACAATATTTCCCACAGCTGGGTTGAGACTAGTGCAAGAGCTGAATGATTTTACATAAGAGTAAAACAGCAAGATGACTGCTGTAGGTAACAACGGATCTTTCAGCCTGATCTTATCAAAGTTGAGCTGAAATACTACCCATTTCAACCCCTCCTCCCCCCACCTTTTTAAAATTTGTTGGTTTAAATGCACAGAATTAGGATTGATAGGAAGTATATTTCTTGTCTAACTTCAGTCTTGAGAGTACTTTAATTTGCGCCACCTGGAAAAACCTGCAATATGTTCATGACCTAAGAATAAGAACCTAATTCGGCCAAAATATTCTTGGGAGCACAGTAGGAAATATTGCTGGAAAAAAGCTTCAGGGTTCTCCTTTGGCCTTCAATAGTCGAAGAGAATTTTAACAAAATACACTTTCTTTAGGATGAGTCCTTAAGAGAGCCTTCTGCCAAAGGCACCACATTGAGAGAAGAAAAATGAAATGGGAGGCGGCAGCGTTGAGCAGGTCATAGAACTAAAGGCTGGAAATCTGACAGTGGGCTTGGATTCCTCTATGCTTTACATGAGTAACTTCCTTGACACCTCTCATTCTAGGGGTTGGATGGAACTCGTGTTATGGGACTGCTGAGACCTATTTGGAGAACTAAAAAAAAAAAATCAGGAAAATCTTGTGTTTTGTTGGCAAAATATTCAGTAATAAAAAGCCTAAACATTGGATCTTTGCTATTGGAGGGCAGGGGTGAAGTGATTTGGTTAATGACTGCTGCACTGAGGATTGATTTCAAGTAGTTGATCATGCAGCACCTGAAAAACAGTTACAGTTTTGTCTTTGTAAATTTATTTGTGTAATTCTTTGCTGTTTCTCTTACTAAATGGCTCTTTAAAACTCTCAATGCAATAAGCACTTTGAGGAAGCCCTATGACACTTAGCTTAGCTATACTGTGCTCCATTAATTTAAAGTACAGGGAGCATCCCCTCTTCTCTTCAGATGATAACTGATATGAAACAATACTCCTTAGGTTCAACATAGGCAGATAAGGTTCTCTGGGTGAATCTGATATCTTTTATTAGACCAACTTGGGTTCAACATGAAATTTAAGTGAAACAACCATTTGGGTACTAAGAGTTCTGTTGTTCTTGTGGTAGCTACAACCACAAGTTCATAATAGCATTGGTGGCAGATTCAAAAAATTAAGCCAACTATTAGGATGTTTTGCTGTCTGAAATTTGTTTAAAATGGAAAGGAAATACATGTTGGAACAAACTTTTACCTGTTTAAACAGTTTTTACAGGAAGATAGGATAGAAATCACTCAGAACTGTTTTGGAAAATGCTTCCTCTCCTCTTTCCTCCTCCTGCCCCCCGCCCCCAAAAAACAACACCACAATGGCCAAATCCCATTAGATATAAATAGGATTGAATAACTATATATAGAATACAGAGAGATCCACTTAATTTGTATACTCTGTGCTCCTGTAAAATGACTCATTCAAAAAACTAATTATTGCAAATATGAATCACTCCCACATTCCTTCTACTCCTTGCTGCATGCATGGTTCATACTATTTAATAAACAATCTGCAAATCTGAACTTCCTAAGAATTGGATTTCTTGAACTGTGTATGAGACAGCTTACACGGTTTTTCTCATCTGTTATGTCAAGGACTGGAAATGACAATACTACATACACTGTGTATTAGCCTGACTGAGTGAGAAATACAAGCTATCCCACATAGAAGTCATAGAGACATAGGGCTGGAAAGGACCTCAAGGTCATCTAGTCCAACCCCCTGCCTGAGGCAGGGTGCTTAGTTGCAGAGGAACACAAGTTTATGCAAAGCTTGCAATACTTTTAGTTGGGTAGGGCTTTAATAAAAGAGAGGCCTAGACAAAAGTCTACAGAGATCAGTGTTTGAATTGTAAAACTATTAAATTAGGGTTCCTTTCAAGGCCACAGTGAAATGTTAGTTTAGTGTGACAGCCTGACAAGTGGGATTAAAGTTTATGCAGACTTGTACATGCAGCTAATTTGTGGAAACAGAATGAAAAGTTGTTGGCCAAAGCATGTGGATTTACACCACCTCCTTCCCTTCCACCTTCTTCCCCTCCCTGCTGGTATTGATTAGAAAAAAATATACCCCTAGAAATAATTATGTAGGGCACTGGTACCACACCTCTTCATTTTGCGGACCACAAAAGCTCTTTCCAGGGACCAGCTCTGCTCTAAACATCCCAAAATGCTGCTACTTAACTTGTTAAATACTTTATTGCATAGGCCAGTTTGGGAACCATATAAAAAAGGGAGAATCATGTGGAATAGCTCTTGGTAAATATTTGGACTTGTGAACACAGTATTCATTTCAAGTACAGGAAAGTACCATGGAAAGTCACTGCAGCTTTTGGTTGTAGATAGTCTAACTATTTAATTCTTTGAAATAGAGTATTTGACTTTTTTTTTTAATTATTCTTTGTCTATGAATATGCACTGAGTACTGCTTTTTTGAAGAATTCTACCTCATGACAATTTTTAAGGTATTGCTCTGAAACATTTGACACTATTTTTTCTGTACAGGGAACTGTTACTCTACTAAATAAATTACAGCTGTCCTACCACATGTAGGTACTATTTAAAATGCACAGCAATCCAGAGTGGTCAAAACAGGTCTGCGTGGTCCACTGCTTTGCAAGGCCTGACCATTAAGAATAAGGCCGATCAGAGGTTATCCTGCTCTAGGCCTTGGATCATATGTTAAGGGTGCTTTTTAGTGTCTGTTGAATGGCATAGAAGCAGATTCACTTTTATATGAAGACATGTTCCATCCATGTATGCTATAGGAATGTGGCTTGATCTCATTTGCAATAAGTTTCAGTTAGAACAAGTAGATAATGTTAGTTGTGGTAATTTGATAACTACTTTTTTTTAACTGCCTTTGAAAGTTTTCTGAAAGCCAATATATTTCACTTATGAAATATAATTGACAGCATCTAGAAACTTTGTTCAGTAATGCAGTTAGATGCTCTTGATTTCTTGATGATAGATACCATGATTTATATGAGATTTTTTTTGTCTTTCTGAATCATGTTGTTTTGCCTTACTGAATTAACAAAATGACTTGGTGTGTAAGATTTGCATTTTTTTTTAGATGGAAGAAAGGATTTATATACACTTCTGTTATTTTAAATTCCAGAAGGTAAACTGTGTCATGATTAACCTTTCCTGACAGCTACCTAAGGTGCAAAATTGTGTAAAGTCTATTCCTGATGGAAAAATGAGTTAACCTATCGTAGATCAACCTTGTATAACTAGTATGCTAAGCTAGTGGCTTAAATCAGTTATTTCTGTTTACATTATATTTTTCACCAGTCAAGTCCTACAATTTTAATTGGACTGTGGAATATGCAATAATCTCTCAAAGCATGATTTCATGCTCATTAGTTATTGTTGTAATTGTTTCATTGTTGGCATGAATGATCAGCAGAAGCAGATAAACTGCATAATTAAGAGCTCCATAAGAATATCAGTTTCAGAAGTGTTTATGAAAACCACAGCTAGTTCATTTTGAAGCCAGTAAATCTTCTGTAGTTTGTCCAGTGGCAATATTGTTGAAGTGAAATACATTTTTTAAATATTCCACTAGAGGTAGTTTGTTTGGTTTGTTTGTTCTTTTAAACCACCAGACTGTTACCCTTTTGGGTAAGGGAGAAATGGGGTAAAATGAAGTTAGTTAAAAATGGAGTTGCTTAAACATGCTTATACTTCATCAAGTTTCAGCTGGCATGTCTGAAATACTTTTTTTTCTTTTTTGTAGTTCAGGTTGGGGAAAGCAAAATGTACCTTGAAGGAACACAAATAATTTAAAGCACCCAATTCTGACCTGCTTTACTGTTAATCTGCTACGTCCTAGACATGATTTGAGATGTTTAGTTTCACCAGTAGATCTTCCTGTACATCCAACAATACTGTAGCTAAATGACAAGTGGCAAAAAATAATTCCTTAAAGAAGTCTCAAATAATACAAACATAGAAAGACGTTTTGGTATTACAAAGTAAAACTGAAGTCCATAGATTCAAGCCCTTCAGTCGTAAGATTGTCAGAAGGGAAGGATCGTCTCTAAACAATAGAGAACAGAAATAGCTGACAGTGTTCTTTTACATTTTTTTTTCAGTAACTTGTTTGCTTTGTGTGGAAGAGAAATCCTATTTCCTGATCTTAGCTAATGGTGCATTCTCTGCAACAGTGAACAGTTATTGATATTCAGCAGTCTCAAATGTAAGGCTTTTTAATACAAGAGCAAATTGTGCATGTAGAATATTTTGAAATACTTAAAAGGTTTCATAGTAAAAGGGTGGAGACAATACAATACATAAAGTATCCAAGCTCTTCTAAATATACTGTATCTACTCCTATACAGTAACTCTTACTGTTTGTGAAGTTTCTCTTGCTTGCATAATAAATTTAACATTTATTACAGCAATTCAGTGCTTTTCTTTAAAGCCAACAGGAAATGCATGTTAACTATGTTTAACTTCATGATGCCCTTTATGC